ACAGACAGACACACACACACACACACATATAGACACACAGACAGACACACACACACAGACAGACACACATAGACACACACACACATATAGACACACAGACACACATAGACACACAGACAGAGACACACACACACATAGACACACAGACAGACACACACACACATAGACAGACAGACACACACACACATAGACACACAGACAGACACACACACATAGACACATCACACACACACACACACACACACACACACACACACACAGAGATTGGAACCGGATTGGGATATAAGAGATTGAAGTGACGTTGTGTGCGAGCGGCAGAAGATTTGTCTGACATTCGTTATCCAGAGAAGTGTAGAATGTATGTCGTGTTCCCGCTATAAACCCCGACATTTCCATCTGTCTTCTCAGCCCTGGAGCGTCTCCTGACCGAGCTGGAAGATTTCCTGCGCGTCCTGGACAAGGAGAACCTCAGCAGTGCCGCCATCCTGAGAAAATGTCTCCTCTCCGAAATCCTCCAGATGTACGTCAAATCCAACAGCAGTAAGTACCAGCCGCCAACTGCTAGCGCTACCAACCCCCCAAAACACGAACCCAACACAAAGTAACAACCCGCAACACATGAACCCAACACAAAGTAACAACCCGCAACACATGAACCCAACACAAAGTAACAACCCCCAAAAACACGAACCCAACACAAAGTAACAACCCCCCAAAACATAAACCCAACACAAAGTAACAACCCCCAAAACACGAACCTAACACATGAACCCAACACAAAGTAACAACCCGCAACACATGAACCCAACACAAAGTAACAACCCGCAACACATGAACCCAACACAAAGTAACAACCCGCAACACATGAACCCAACACAAAGTAACAACCCGCAACACATGAACCCAACACAAAGTAACAACCCGCAACACATGAACCCAACACAAAGTAACAACCCGCAACACATGAACCCAACACAAAGTAACAACCCGCAACACATGAACCCAACACAAAGTAACAACCCGCAACACATGAACCCAACACAAAGTAACAACCCGCAACACATGAACCCAACACAAAGTAACAACCCGCAACACATGAACCCAACACAAAGTAACAACCCGCAACACATGAACCCAACACAAAGTAACAACCCGCAACACATGAACCCAACACAAAGTAACAACCCGCAACACATGAACCCAACACAAAGTAACAACCCGCAACACATGAACCCAACACAAAGTAACAACCCGCAACACATGAACCCAACACAAAGTAACAACCCGCAACACATGAACCCAACACAAAGTAACAACCCGCAACACATGAACCCAACACAAAGTAACAACCCGCAACACATGAACCCAACACAAAGTAACAACCCGCAACACATGAACCCAACACAAAGTAACAACCCGCAACACATGAACCCAACACAAAGTAACAACCCGCAACACATGAACCCAACACAAAGTAACAACCCGCAACACATGAACCCAACACAAAGTAACAACCCGCAACACATGAACCCAACACAAAGTAACAACCCGCAACACATGAACCCAACACAAAGTAACAACCCGCAACACATGAACCCAACACAAAGTAACAACCCGCAACACATGAACCCAACACAAAGTAACAACCCGCAACACATGAACCCAACACAAAGTAACAACCCGCAACACATGAACCCAACACAAAGTAACAACCCGCAACACATGAACCCAACACAAAGTAACAACCCGCAACACATGAACCCAACACAAAGTAACAACCCGCAACACATGAACCCAACACAAAGTAACAACCCGCAACACATGAACCCAACACAAAGTAACAACCCGCAACACATGAACCCAACACAAAGTAACAACCCGCAACACATGAACCCAACACAAAGTAACAACCCGCAACACATGAACCCAACACAAAGTAACAACCCGCAACACATGAACCCAACACAAAGTAACAACCCGCAACACATGAACCCAACACAAAGTAACAACCCGCAACACATGAACCCAACACAAAGTAACAACCCGCAACACATGAACCCAACACAAAGTAAAAACCCGCAAAACATGAAACCCAAATAACACAAAGTAACAACCCCCCAAGACATGAACCCAACACAAAGTAACATCCCCCAAAACATGAACCCAAATACAAAGTAACATCCCCAAAAACATGAACCCAACACAAAGTAACAAGCAGTCAACCTCAAAAATAAAACGCCGAGACAACCAGAAGGCTTCCCTGTCTAGAAGCCAATAGCAGGAGGGAAAGATAAGTAACAACCCCCCAAGACATGAACCCAACACAAAGTAACATCCCCCAAAACATGAACCCAAATACAAAGTAACATCCCCAAAAACATGAACCCAACACAAAGTAACAAGCAGTCAACCTCAAAAATAAAACGCCGAGACAACCAGAAGGCTTCCCTGTCTAGAAGCCAATAGCAGGAGGGAAAGAACGGAAGGTGTGTGCCGGGAACCTCCCCCAGCAAGGCCCACACCTGACGACAATAACGGCCACAGGCGCACTGCGCACGTGCCTCCATGCGGAGCCTGTCCCGCCAAGTCGAAGGAGACCCCGTGCCCTACACTGTACCTGGCGGCCCCGAGGTGAGGTGGCATCCCCGGTTCCCTGACAAAAATCACAACCAGTTTACCCCGAAAATAGAACCCAACACAAGCTAACAAGTGGCCAAGTGTTCGGCAATGTGTCACCGTTTCACTTTTTATTTATTACCTCTCACAGAGATCCCATCCCTTCCCCCAACAATGTCTTCTGGATCTCGACAGAAATCCAGTGTGAGACTTGGAGCTTCCTGTAATAAAGACCGGTCACTGCTGCTCTCTCCCCTTTTGCAGGGTGACTGGTCTTGTCTCCGCCCCCTCCTGTAAGTTTTTGTGTCGGGAGTTCTGCTTTCATTCTGCCATTCCCCCCAGGTAGACGCACATTAGCTGTCTGCGTCTTGTCAGTCGAGGTCGTGCGGAGGACGCACTGTGTTTAATTAATGGCCAGACGTGGAGAATTTTGCTGTTTGGATGGCGGTTCTCCTATCACACGTTCCAGATGTTCCGTTGATAAATACTCTGAAAATGAAAGCCGGCAGATTCCTCAGTAGCGGCCGCACACGTTGTCATAGTACAGAGCGGTTCGCGTCCGACTGGCTGCCGAGCGGTCACATGACTGCAACACTCAAGGCCAGATTTCCCACAGGGCCAACCAAGGCCCCAGCCTTGGGGCAGCAGGGAGTAGAGGGGCAGCAGGGGTGTGGAATTCCTATCTCCCGATGCCCAGGACACCCAGTTCCGGGCGGGTAGTTGTTTTCTACATTTAGCCCCGCTTTGGGCAAGCAGAGCTAAATGTACAGCGGGGGAAGACTCAGCTTGTTTTGTACACGTGGTGCAGCAGAGAGAGTAAATCCAGCCCCAACTTCAGTGCCATCCATCCCTTCAGGGGTCTCCAAACTTCACTCCTCCAGCTGTTGTGGAACTACAAGTCCCAAAAGACATTGGCAGCCCCCGACATGATATCCAGAGGGGGAGGCATGATAAGATTGTAGTTTCCACAGAGCTGAAAGGCAGAACTTCCCATCCCTATCTAACACATTATAAACACTTTGGCGTCACCAGCGGGGTTCACTGTGTGATATTGGGGATCCCTCTCCAGAAAGACCCAACTAATGACAAATCACTGAGCTGGATCTTCTCTCTGTTCCAGGCTGCGATGAGGAATATATCTACATGAACAAAGTTCTAAATGTATATTATGTATAAAAATGTAAATTTCTCTGTGATGGAACTCCAACAACGTCATCCTCACTTTCCTCATCCATCTCCGCAGCCGAAATATTGGACAAATCAGCCAAAGAGGTTCTGACCAATGGGACGATATCTCAGCACTCGGCACCGCCCCAGAAGAGCCTCCCGGACCTCCCGCCTTCAAAAGGGGTGAGTAGTTGTTTCCAACATGTCCGTGAATGAGGCGATCCCAAATACCAGCTCCTCACTCT